ATAACAACAAATGTTAGCCAATTTGCCGAATCATTTTAACAAGCTAACTTACTGCTCGTAACTTGAAGCCTAGTTTAAACTAGGCATATCAGAATTCTAAATGACTTCTCAATTATGGAAACATTTATGTCGTTTCCGTTGATTTACTTAACTTACAGTTTTGGTTTTAAATCTCAGAAATGATAAATTGCTCTAATTGAAGTTTGATTTTTAAAGTTTAAGGCTAAGTGTAGACGATGTATTAGAAAGATTTCTTCGAAATGTATACTAGCGATTTTCCCTTATTTCACTCATCATTAGTATTTTATGTGGTTTTACAATTATTTGTGTAGACAATTTTATCTAAATCTTTCCAGCCGTTTCTGCTTAAAAAGAAACAAACATACAAACTTTAGACTTTATAATAGTTGTTCCTTTATTCAATACGCGGGTCGTGGAGGGATTAAGTTGCATGAGGTTGATTTCTGAAAGGATCAAGGTTTTTCCATAAAACTACATCGATATCGGCTGAACTGTTTGTTTAGTCGTGAAAATCAAGCAGACACAAAATGAGAATTTGTTCTTTCAGTAATATTTGGATAATTACAACAAAAATCCAGATAATGCCCAAAACCATTAGTAAAAAATTGTGAATGAATTGAAATAACACAAAAGCGATCTCCATGATACAATGAAGTAAAATGATAGGCACTGCCTTCTTAATGCGCGAAGAGAGCTTTGGTATTGATATAAGAATTATTTATTTTCGTAAAGCAAAATGATTTTTTTAACCGAAAAATTTCACAAATCCGTTTTCAAATGTTAACATACTCGTATGTAAATAAATATTCTTTAGATAAGAAATACAAAAGACCTTAAACCATGAATCTCGTTTCCATACACATAATCCTTGGTATAGAGACATTTTAACTTGTAGGAAGCCGAACTACCTTAGTCTATTGCATCTTGAAATACTACCGCAAATAGCTCGACTACTTACTGTTCAATAGAACCTTTTAAATACAAATAAGTTTATTTATATCGTTGGTTAATGGCGAGCTTTATGGATATACATTATGTGTCTGCAAATCAAGAGGTCCTGGGTTCGAATCCGATCCGGTACAATATGGCCCCATATTATAGTTACACTTTTTTAAAATAAAAATCTTCAAACAGTTCAAAATTGTGGAAAACGACAATGGAAAATTCGTCCTACCTCGATCATTGACCGTTCGACTCAATACCCGATCCAAAATCAAGGCGAACTTGATTTTTGTCACGCTGAAGCGTCTTGCCGTTCCTTCTATGATAGAGAGAGAACTAAGAGCGCAGTTGTATTTCGTTCAGATTTATGTAACATGAGATGTAGATGGCTAGTCTCTGTAAGATAAACATAATACGATCACGAAAACATTATAACATGTTATATAAATGGTTCCCATTAAGTTTCCTTTTACGTTACTTTACAAATCAAACAAGTTTTATCTGATTAACAAAAACAGATCACTAAAAGATGAATTCAAAAATATGGTGATGTTGATAAAACTTAGTTTTTAGATGGGGTTTGGCCTATTACTTAAGCTTATATATATATATATATATATATATATATATAAGCTTAAGTATATATATCTCTATATCCTGACTCGTAGTAAGTAAAAACGGATTCAAATTCAAATTATTAATTTATTTGTACCATACAGGTGTTAATATGATAATCTATACATATAATATAATTGTAACTAAGCCGAATTTGTGCATTAAATATTTTTTGGAAAATCTTATTGAAGTAAACATTATTATCGACACAAAGGCCAAATCTATAGTTTTTAGAATTTTTGTCAGTCTGTCTATCTGTCTTTCTGTCCGTCTGTCTGTTATCGCATCACAGAAAAACCACTGGAGAGATTTTGACGAAATTTGGTATGGTGATAGCTGGTTATCCGGGTCAACATAGGATACTTTTAATATGTAAAACCTAAAAATGTGGTTTTTGGTCATCTGAACGCGGGCGGAGCCACGGGCAATGCTAGTAAAAAAATTTCTTAATACATACGAGTACATCTGGTACAAAAATAAAGAAAGATTTTGTATAGTTATTATTTTATTAACATAGTTTTCGTTAGCAGTGTGTGATGCAAATTAAACTTACATCGAAGCAAAGCTGTTCAACTTGCGAAGACCGGCAGTTAGTATCCTCGCTAATTTATACACCACTTCGTCCTGATAGTCTGAACTGCATTTACATTTGTTCAAATAGTCCCCGAATAAAGTTTTGGTAGTAGTAAATAGTATAAAAGAAATCCGTGCTAACTTTAATTTAGATTTGAATGGGAGGAATTTTCTTTATTCTTAAAAATTTATTATATTTTCAAAGAATCATTATTAATAGAACCTCTTCTTCTACTTCTCCGTATCAGCCTTAATACACCAGTCTCTCTGGAAATAGTCCAACTCTCTAAACTCTAATCTTTAAAAGAATAATCTTAGAACCATCATATTAGCACACAGTGCTATGTAACAATTAGTCTTACTATACTAGTTCGGCTGAAAATTGTCTAAAATACAACCTGTAGCCTTCATATAGCCAGCATTGACAACAATATACTAATTGACTGAAGAACACCTACTATTTAATTTCATAGATTGCCAACAAATAATCATTTTCTCATTGGGAAGTCAAATTGAGTGACTCAGTCAATCTTTCTGTTTTGCTTGGAAAAATTGATATAAAATGTATATACTGGTTAAATTTTCAGCACCAAAATAGCGGTGATGTGCCAAAATGCATATTTACATATTGAAGTTTCGCATGAATAAATAAAATTTTCGCATAATGAGAATTCACGCCTGCGGTCATATATTATAACTTGGGTAGAAACTTTGTTATTAAATTTTCATTTGTGCCGACTGGACATGGCTGTAACTTTAGAAATGTTGATACTTGTATTAGAGCAAGATCCCGTGAACCCCAGACCTTCGTTATTTTATAAAAGCTGAAAGTTTGTCAGCGCATGCTTCCAACTCAGGTAAGAACGATGGACCATTATGAAGTTTAGGTTACCGTGGCTTCGGCAGGTAAACGGTACTAAAGGTGTGTAAAATACCGATCTAAGTTCATCAAATAATAAAGTGTGATTTTTTGGTATTACCTTCAGAATAGTATTTAAAAATCACTTAATTCATTGCCAGACACTTAACATCGTGGCAAACCCTTGCCAGACACCCTTGATGTTCATGAAATTATAATTCTACTTACGTTATAGTTTAAAAGCAGATTTTTATATATAATAGTTGGGTAATAATTAGATGATGTCTCCTCATTAGCCAGACATTTTTGATAGTTCCAACCCCTTTCATCTTTGCTGGCGTGTTAAGTGAGGCAGAGTTCAAAATTAGCCAATTCAATGGGTTCCAATCCCAGGATTTTTCATAATCCAATTTGACATTCTCTTTCCTTGCCAAATTTTATCGAAATCTGTTCAGCGGCTTAAGCGTGAAAAGGTAAAAGACAGAGTTAGTTTCACGTTTATAATATTAGTATGGAGTTATTGGGATAAGTTAGGGCGCTCAAGGTCACTCAAAATAAACTATGCGATTCTAGCGGCACGCAAAAGTTATAGTTAAATATTTATTCTTATTATCGATATTATCAGCATTGGTTCAGCAATTTGGTAGTTTTATCTGAAAAATTTTGGTGTTAAAAGTTGCTGTGATCTAAATATAAAACTTGATTATAGATTTCGACCTACTCTTGTAGAGTTTCGACTATGCATTATGATAAATATATTTTCTTTGATGTATATATATGACAAAATATGTTAGAAAATATATTTATCAACTAGTGATTTACCGTCTCTTCGCTCGGGTGCATCCCTCCTAGGTACAGGGATTTTGTTTACAATTTTGAGGAATCCTGATTCTTTTTCTAAAATAAAAGTAGATTAAATTACTCTTTATAACATCAGCTATCTGCCCGTCAAAGTCCTGTCCAGCTGTGTCGGAAATTAGCCGGAACAAACAAACTGGCAAAAATGTAAAATTGTTTTTTTTTCTTATTTGTACCGTATGTGTATACTTTCATATGCATTTAGTAAAATGTTACTTATTTAACATTGACGTTACAAACAGACACTTCAATTTTATTTATGTGTATAGATATGCACCATATTGGAAATATAGGATCCATAAATAATTGTGTGATAATATTTTTAATCTAATCGCTTCTTACTATAAGACATTATATTATGTCAAATAGGTAAGTATATGATAAATTAGGTTTCCGTTTTGAAAAGAAAAAAAAGTCGAATGAAATGAATATCGATATAAATGAAACAATATGTTATATAAAATTGTAGTCTATTTATTATTCAATTTTCTTACGTATTTATGTATATATTTATGTAATGAAGCTAACATATTATGTTGCAAAATGCGGTGTCTCAAATAAAGGAAATGATTTTTTTATTTAATTATTAATTAAGTAAAAAGTTATTATAAGATCTACACACGTATGTATAATACAATGTGTATTAATAAATAATAATAATGTCCTCAAGATCGATTTCAGCCATTGCGGTCAATTTCATTGAGACTAGCCATTTACGCAGGAGATATTATAAGTTCAAAAGCGTACTCGCAGACACAAGTGCACTTTCTCTACCGTGTCCCAGTCACTCTCATACTCCCATGGGACGACTACTCGATACGACCAGTAAGAGTTAAGGCGCAAGACCGACGGTCTTATGTGCTCTCCGAGGTGTCAACTTCCCAACTCCGGGCTGTTACTGTGATTTCCTTAACAGAAACACCCAATAATTAAACTTGGTCCGACCCGGGATTAGAACCTAGAACGTCCGGATGTGCAGCCGTACATGCTAGCCCACTACACCATGGAGGCAATAAATAACCACTACATCAATAAGTCGTCGTCATTTTTTTAATTTAATCCCTAACAAAGAATATTAAAAATACATAATATACATATTTATTATGACTGAAATCTCTTAGTTTTTAATCTACGTATCATATCTTTGAAATTGTATTAATATTACTAAATATGTAGTCACTGCTCCTAAAACCTGAAAAATAATAAATGCATATTAGTAGTAGGTACTACATTAGAAATATTAATAGTTTTAATTTAGTTTTATATACTCTAAAACACTCCACACATTGTTAAGAGCTTGCTTAATACGAAAAATTCAACTCATGAAAATTTCTTCTGTTTTCGAATATCATACATATTGACTTAAACTAAGATAGATTAAAATCATAACTTATTTTACTTTAATTTTTTTCAGAAAATATAAAACATTATTTTGTGACTAACGAAAATAAGTAAAGCGGGTTCAAATCCTGGGTCTCGCACCTCTGATATTTTTCATGTGTGAATCATTACATGACTGATGATCTGCATTTCTAAGAGAATCTAGCAAGTTTTCGAAAAACATGAAATTGTAAAGACTGAAGTCCGCCCACCCGCACTTGTCTAGCATGGTTGACTATAGCCTGATTTCCCTTGTACTGAAGGGAGACCCGTGCCCAGCAGTGCGACGTCAAAAAATAAAAAGGGCTACCTAAATACTACAAGCATTTACTTAAAAATGCTTTTATCGTTCATACGTTCATATTTAAATACAGTTTTAAATGTGTAAATGTTAGTTTTCGGCAAAAACGATTCAATGAAATTTAAATTAGATAGCACGTATAGTAGGTTACTTTTATCAAAGTACCTACCTACTAAATCTAGAGGCTAATTTTAAAACTTATAAATATAATTACCGAGACTATCAATGGTCGGTCCAAAGTACACATTCCCATGGGTGAATAGCTAATTGATTGCAGCATCAGTTGTCGAGAGAACAGTTCCAGGCGGGACGGAAGCATACCAGTTGACGGTGTAGAGGTCATTAGTCGGCACACCAGTTCCTCTGTGCGTTTACCCTTAAAATGGGAATATATCGGTGCGTTAGTGCTTATTTGTTCAAACGACCAATACTTGTTATACTTTACAGTAGAAAGATTTTTCCTGTATTTTAAATTTAAAAACAAACCTTCATTTCTAAGATTTTATATGTACATAATATATAAGTAGATAAAATACATATTTATGGCTTTATTAAAGTTAAATATACATATATTTAATACCAATAAAATTGACATTTTAAAGTTAATAATTCTGTATTAAAAACTCTTTTGTTAAATTAGTAACAAATAAGCTTTGAGACAACGACATAACAATATCGGTAAAATATATGAGTATATCTTACTGATTTAATTACACATACCGATTAGTTTTTGATCCCATTTCAAAATGGAGGACATCGGTGTTAAAATATATTTGTCATTTACATTCAATTTAAAATGAACTTATTTAAGACATACGGGTGACAAAATAGGGTTGAAATTATTGGGTTCCAGTTAGAGTAACTTTTCGAACTTAACTAAATTCTTGTTGGCAAATCCGAATTTTAGTAAAATTATTTCAGTCTAAGTATCTACATATTGTTAGGTTGAAAAACTCAACAGTTCCATTTCTTAATTTCTTCTGCCGTTATTTTTCTTCATAACATTCTAGCTGCTTGCTTATGTGTCAACAAATCTCTATTCTATACATTTTCATTAACAAGAAACTCTTTCTTGAACAGAGTTATATACTTTATTCAGTAATATATTTTTAATTTTATCTCAAACTTGTTGAAAAGGTATTGGTCTAAAGCTCTAACGGTTGTAGAATGACATATTTTCTAAACAGCTATATTATTATGTTATTTTTATATATTTTTGTTGTATTTTATTTACATATTTATGTAACAAGATTAGCTTAGAGAATGTCGGAAGAAAGAAATACAACTTACCTCAGTAATAGTATAATGGCACGGTTCCACCACGACAAACATTCGTATAATATGCGTAGCGCACCATAGAAATTGTAGCACTAAGAAATGAACTCGATGTGTTGACACAACTGTAGCAAAATCATAACTATTAGCTGTTATCTATACGTTTAATATAATTCTATATATATAATATAATTTTATATAATCGAATGTGAACAATAAATATTTTTTGGAAAATCTTATAGTAATAGTCATCATTATCGAAACACGGACCAAATCTATAGTTTTTAGATTTATTTGTATGTCTGTCTGACAACGCATCACGCGAAAACCACTAAACAGATTTTGATGAAGTTTGGTAAGATGATAGCTGGTTATCCAGATCAATATATAGGATACTTTTTACGGATTTTTTTGTGGGAAAATATCTCATCTTTGAGAAATCTATACCAACCGTTAAAACGTACTTAGGGACCAATCTGAGCGGTACGAGGGTGAGCCGCTAGTTCCGTCCAAACATCCATCTAAACTTTCACATTAGTACGAAAAATATAAAGGAAAAGTGAAATGAAAATTGGGCAACCAGTAAATCCTATATTAATAAAAACTAGCGACCTCTATAGCATTCATACCTGTAGCATTCATGACATTAACCATATAGGTAAGTCGTGGAGAGAATTCCGTTAGAGGGCGTTAGTACGTAATGTGAGATGTAGCCTTCAAGAATATCATAGGCACTGATTCAAACCTTTTTAAGTTATATTTAGTTATATGGACCGCCGCTAGAATGCGCTTTTAATATTTACTATCTTATTTAACCTCAACTAAATCTCTAAAGGATAATTCAAAATGTGTATACTTCTTTATTAATTGGCTTCAACTTCAGAGTGAGATAATTACTCTTAAAGTCATTTTGAATGACCCTATTAGTTAATAAAGACTTTTTTTTTACCAACTTCCAGACACTAAAAATAAAATAATAAACCTATTTCTGAACACTAAAAAATACAAAATAATTGAACAGGGCTTTTACTATAAATACCTAATTAGATATTTTCGAAAAAGCATGAGTGTGTGAATGGACAGACAGACTTAATTAGCACATGAAAATTTGTTTTCGTCACCAGTAAATTAAAAAAAAACATACACTTATGTACATATCTAGATTTGCGGCAGATCCCAATAACTTATGTACGACAATCTGTTACGATAGGAATTTGGCTAATCTATACATAGTGTAAAACAAAGTCGCTCCCGCTGTTTGTACGTTTAGATATTTTAAACTCCGCAACGGATATTAATGCAGTTTTTAGCAATAGATAGATTGATTCAAGAGGAAAGTTTATATGTATAATAAATGCATATTATAGTACAGAAAAGCCGAGAAATTTAAGATTTGTATTTTGAGCTTACATAGCCTACCTAGTTATGTTCGCTAATTATGGCTAAAGGCTAAAATAATTTGTATGGAGCGTATGTCAAACTTCTATGACTCTAAAGCTTTTATATTATATATTCTAATATTCTATATATGACTCTAAGCTTTCTATCGACTACAAAGTTTATGTTGATTTTTGCCTCTTCGGCTTGTGCAAATCTGCAGATTATTGAATTGCATACTTTTCAGGATGTTATTAGCCCACCATACTTTAATCTGACGGTTTCAATTATTTCTACCTTATCAAAAAAATATTTTGATCGGCTGCTCTAGACGCGCGCCCTTATATAGAGGACTTATATTATGGTGGAGGTACTCAACAATTAACATAAAGGGGGATCCCCCTTATGTAAATCTGCCGCGCTTGAGCAACTGCAAAGATCCCCTCTTGGGCTCCCCTACTATTAGATAGGTTATTAAGAACCGTAAATTAACCTCTGATATGTTTTTAATGTTGGGAAATGCATTTACGCGTACCCCCTGTAGACATACAGGTGGTTATTCACCGGCTAGAGAAGCCAGTACTACCCACTAAAACCCAGCAAAATCTCTCCCGTCAAAGCAGGGCGTCGCAGGAACGCTTACGCATTCCAACTACGAGGCCCCGACGGCAGGTCCGCCGAAGCAGACCACATCAACCATGGGGTTGCTCCCACGGTCCACTCTGCTGACAGAGAAGTACCAGGAGCAACCCACATTGTACACCGCCCACTGAAAGGCCAACCGCCAGTGCGTTTCTTCGCTTCGCACCCGGCCAAATTAACCTCTGGACTGACATAACTGTTCTTCAACATTTCTCGCATCTCTAAAATGTTGAAGAAATGAAATCTAAGATTTACTAAGTGAGCTAGTAAAAGGCCGAAGTGAGTGATTCTCACAGAACTTTTGGATATTGGGCTTTTATAGTTTTTGAAGTTACTTAAAAGTTTTAAATAAAACTATCTTTTCGGATTTTGTCGCGGATTTATTTGCATTTTTGTTTCCCGACGTTTCGAATGCTTTACAGCATCCATGGTCACGGGAGAGACTGAGGTGTTACATGTCTTGAATGTATAGTTGTTACAGACCGCCTACCCACAATTAACAAAATGAAAATTGCACCAATTACACTACATTATTTTTTAACTTTAAACATTTTTATAATTTTAATTATAATTGAATATGGAAAATTATTTATTTAATTTTTGCTATTATTTTTATAATTATTACAATTTTAAAATATTAATTAGTAATCTATATTTAGTGTTGCCAAATAAAGATTACTAATTAATATTTTAAAATTGTAATAATTATAAAAATAATAGCAAAAATTAAATAAATAATTTTCCATATTCAATTATAATTAAAGTTATAAAAATGTTTAAAGTTAAAAAATAATGTAATGTAATTGGTGCAATTTTCATTTTGTTAATTGTGGGTAGGCTGTCTGTAACAACTATACATTCAAGACATGTAACACCTCAGTCTCTCCCGTGACCATGGATGCTGTAAAGCATTCGAAACGTCGGGAAACAAAAATGCAAATAAATCCGCGACAAAATCCGAAAAGATAGTTTTATTTAAAATGTCAAATATTCGCGTAAATCTAAGACAGTATTACTTAAAAGTCTTAAAAATTTTACTATTAATAAAAATATTACATACTGATCTCCATAATAAGGAAGTACGGTGTAACAATCAAGTGCAGTAACGTGGATATGAGGATCACTATGAGAGGTAGTCCGTAGCTTTTGTCGATACGGTGTACGACGTTGCATAGAGCGCCGTGAAGAAATGCAAGACGCCTTATTGCTTCGCATGGTGGAACCACTAATTTTGGCTCTCCACTAACTGTAAATTATGAGAATTTTAGATAAAATGCTTGAATCACTTGTTTGTTTATTTTATGTATTACATAAATTACCCTTTGCTTATTTAGATGTTAATAATATATTACGGTATAATTTCAAAATACAAAATTACTAGTAAAGATGCAGAAATTTAATAAATAATTAATTAATTAAAGTTTGAATACTACTTACGTAGCCAGCTTAATAATAAAAAATAAAACAGTTTGAAGACAAAAAAATTTAGTAGGTACAAACTTGGACTAAAAAATCTGTGCTTTTACCAAAAATAAAATTATTTTGATTTTAGGGAGATTTTTTATTGGACTCTTATCTTACCTGGATTCCGTATGATGACAGCATGTTCTTTTCCGGGCAAGGTATCCACTAAAAGGCTAACATTGGTAGCACATCGTCGTGAATCTGCAGCTACGCGTATGGCAAATATGTTTAATGGTGTCGGATCTTTTATTTTCTCAACTATAATAATAAAGTACTTCATCAGTTCATGGATAAAGTAATAACAAGAAAAAATATGGAATAAACACAGCTAAAAATTACGTTCAAGATTAAGTAGAATATACAAAAAACCGTCCGTCCATCTTGGACCGATTTTCGTCAAACATAGCTAAGACCATTCCCGACTAATTCACCTTTCAAACAAAAAAAAAACACAATCAAAATCGGTTCATCCGTTCGAGAGATACGATTCCACAGACAGACACACAAACACATACACACAGATACGTCAAACTTATAACGTCTTGTCGTTTTTGCGTCGGGGGTTAAATATATGTTAAATTAAGATATCCCTTTTCAAGTGTGTTGCAAAAAAAATAAAAAATGTAACATTTAAATTTTAAATATACAACTATCACATCAGCAAAACAACTTATAATTCAAACTGAAGTCTTTGCACGATTAATTAAAAAAGTTAAATATTTGCCAATTAAAAACGTATCTATTTGTAAAAAAATATTTTGAACTTATATTATTTTCATTTTGTGACCAACAGGCAAGCGATTAGGAGTAGATGATGTGCGATCAATTTAAAATTAAGGAAGAAATTATTATTTTTCGATATCTTTTCCCAAAAATCTATGATTAATCAAGTCTATAAAGAGAATATAAGACGTCTTTTTAAAGTTTCACTCAAATCTGTATTGTAATTAGAGGAAATTTTCTCTAGTTTAATTTATGCATTTTTAATAATATTATTAATATTAAAAATGCTTAAGTTTCTGAGTCAAAAAGCTTAACATTTTTAATATTAATGTTATATGGAATACCTGGTACAGATACATGTCTGGCAGTCAGTGTCAGCGCGTCGTTGACTGCTTGGAAACGAGCGCGAACTGACAACGCAGTGAAGGCGAACTGTAGCTCCAATATCATCACCACATACCAAAGAAGATAAAACCCTATGTAATTTGTTACTACGTCCCCTGAAAAATATATTATTAGGTACTTTATGGTAATTATTTTCCCATTGGCATCTGTTAGTGTTCTATATAATAAAAATGAAATGCTGTTCGGTGGTAGGCGAATCATTTGAGAATAGCTGGATAGTTTGGATCTTAAAATGATTTTTATAATTTATATGCAAAATAATGTACGAGTAACATTCGGGAGACTGCAAGTGCTTTTCTTTTTTGGAATGTACCTATATGAATTTATGTCCACAAAAATCACAAAACAGAACTATTGAAACTGGACATCTGTCCCAAATTGTGTGTTTTGTCTTGTAGCATCTATCGGGTTAGGTAGTATGTAATGCCTATTGTATACAAGTATGTTATATTTTTTTTGTATAATTTACTTTATACAGAGTCACTTTTAATTTATTGAAAACCCTTTGGGAATATACCTCCTATTGACATCATAACATCAACATCTGTATGAAAAAAAAAATTCTTAAAGATTACAAAAATAAAAATATTTTTATTGTACCTTCTGAATGGTAATAGTCCAGCATTAGCAAAAGAAAGTGCGTGGCCGGTGAAGTGGGAGGGGTGGAGAGGTGTAGGAAACGGCGCTTACTCATTTAAACTTGGCCAGATGCTAGAACTTTACCGTTTAGAAGGTGCAATAAATATATTTTTATTTTTGTATGAAAATAAAAAATTAAGAAATATTATTTTTTCTTGTTACATATGTTGTTATTATGATGTGAATAGTATATTCTTAAAAGGTTTTCAGTAAACTAAAAAACTTTTTAACAAAAAATAAAAACCGACTCCAGGCACTAAAATGTAAAAAATAACTAGGTAAACGGAGGTTTTCATTTAGAATAATCTAATGTAAAGAATAATAATAATCTAATCTTCATAAATGCCGATGCAAAGCAAATCTAATATATTTCGATACGTAAAATACATAATATTTACCTATTAAATATTCATAATATCTTAAAATATTGTCAGCTGGCACCGACTTCGAAAATATCTGATTAGGTATCTATTCTAAATGAAAACCCCGGTTTAGTAATTTTTTTCATTTTAGTGCCTGGAAGTCGGTTTTCTTTTTAAGATTTTATTTTTCCATTTTTAGTGTAGACGTAGTAAGCAGGTAATTTGTAAGAAGAAAGTTTTTTAATAACATATTCGATTAAACAATTTATAAAAAAAATATATTTTTTTGAAAACCGCTCGATCGATTTCGATAAAATTTATATGGAACCATCTGGGAAGTATACCCTTTGAAACAAAAAAAAATATTTTCCAAATCGGTTCAGGCGTCTTCGAGTAAGCGTTGAACATACATAAAAAAAAGATTCCGACGAATTGAGAACCTCCTCCTTTTAGGAATTGGAAGTCGGTTTAAATGGCCCTGTATATACGTATATACAAATATAAGTAAATAAATAATTTCTAAAACGATTAGTGGTATATTTAAGCATACTTACATTGTCTATCAACTTTCTTTGCTTGCAAAGCGTAGAAACAAAAGTCATCAGCTATTAGCGCGGAAAAGAAGATCAGTATAGCGAACAGAATAGCACACAGTTTTCTTTCAGTCACAAGAGAGTAATGGGCACCGATACTGTTGTCCACCTGAAAATATAAATTTTTAATTTACATAAATATATCTACGTTATACTTTTTACAACGCGCTATACTGGAAGGATTATATTAAATCTATACTAATATTATAAAGAGGTAGTTTGTGAGTTTGTGGCGTTGTAGGGGGTAATCTCTGGATCTATTAAACGGATTTAGATGAAATTTGGTAAGAAGGCGGTTTGCGACCGTGGCAAGGACATAGAATACTTTTATCCCAAAAATTATCCCTTAAGAGGGTGAAAATGGGGGTTAAAATTTGTATGGAGAATCAAGCTAGGGACAAACCCGATCCCGGGGGAGAAGCCAACTCCTACCGGGCGCGTCCCCAGGTGGCGGATAGGGGAATGCCACCCGCTTAGGGCGGCGGGTGGTACCAGAGAAATCCGGCGCGGACCAAATGGCTTGGGTGGGGCCGCTCGTCTAGGCCTCGAGCCGAAGACGTTGCGGCCACCGGTGGTGGGACCGTTTGGTCCCACAACCGGATGATGGGTGCCGGTTGCGGGACTGTGGTCGCAGGCCCGCATCCGGCGGAGGAGTAGGCCGCGGCCTGAGAGGAGTGCCGGTATTTCGGTGCGCCGTTCTCCCTACCTTCCGCGGCCTAGACGGGGCCGCCACCGTTTGATGGCGGACGCGGTGGGGCTGCAGGGGAAGAGGAGTGTCGGTGTTTCGTTGCCGCTCTCCCTGTCCTCTGCAGCCGATTGGAGGTGGCCCACTTCGGTGGGCGGTGGTTAGGTTTAATGGGGCTGTTCCGGGTACCTCTCTGGCGTAGCAGAGTTGACTGTGGAGCAGCCCCATTGGTTTGGTGGTCTGCCTTTTTAGGCAGACCTGCCGCCGGGGCGCCGTAGTAGTTATGCGCAAGCGATCCTGCGGCGTCCCATTAAGGCGGAGGGGAGGGGAATGTCGAGTTTTAGTGGGTAGTACCGGCTCTTCTAGCCGGTGAGCCCCACATCACCACCTGGGTATGGATCAGGTGGTATGCGTAAATGCATTTCCCGACATAAAAAAAAAAGGGACAAACCCGAACGAAGCGAGGCTGAGTCGCTAGTTTTATATTGGAGGACGTGCAGATATTCTTCGAGCAAACGAATTTTAAAATCTTAAGGTCAATATGTGGATCACTTATTGGATCTGAGTCCCCTCGAAATCTTTTTCAGGCTTTCATATTATTGATTTGACTTTTGTACCCGTGAAATCCAAAGAGATGCAAATAAATCATTATAATCGGTCCTTTTTAACGTCCCACTGCTGGGCGCGGGCCTCCCTTCAATACGAGGGGGATCAGGCCATAGTCCACCATGCTGGCCGAGTGCAGGTTGGCGAACTTCACTGTTTTTCGAAAACTACATAATACTCGTTATAAATTCTGTTTATTGTCTATCCACAACTAAACACTTAAACTCACTTCGCTCAGGTAACTCGCTCGCCCTGGGTGCCTTTTGTATTGTATATTCCATACTAATATTATAGATCCATACTTTGATATTATAAATGTGAAAGTGTGTTTGTTTGTTTGTTTGTTTGTTTGTCCTTCTTTCACGTCGAAGCGGAGTAGCGGATTGGCGTGATTTTTTGTGTGGAGGTAGTTGGAGGTCTGGAGAGTGACATAGGCTACTTTTTATCGCGGGCAGTTACTTAATTCCCACGGAAAACATGTTATAATACAATCCAAAAAAATATTTATCATCAGAATTACTTGAAACTTGGTATATAGACCTTATAATAAAATTAAATATGTGTCTTAGCATTTTTCAAAATTCACCCTATAAGGGGGTAAAAAAATAGGGGATGAAAGTTTGTATGAAACTATCTTTTTAGAGATTTTTTTTGTAGTTTTAGCGCGAGCAAAGCCGCGGGTTCTGCTAGTGTTATATATATCGCAGGGACATTGTGCAAACCATTAAATTATAATTTCACTAGTGAAATTATAACGTTCGCTAGTGAAATTTTAATTTTATTACTACATAGTATCCCATGTGTTGCTCTAGGCCATATATAGCCTATGAATGTAGATACTGAATTTCATCTTAATCTGTCCAGTCGATAGACTAAAGGAGTAACTAACAAGCATGCACACACACGCACACATCTAGACACGCATGCACACATACACACTCTTTCACATATATAACGGTAATGTGTAGAGTTAAACAAAACACAAGAAACTACTGTATTACTGGTAGAATACCCTTTGTGTTAGCAATAATATCGATCCTTACCGATGCAACACTTTCCATGAATTTCAACATATTTCTCATTCTCTTCGGCGCCCCATACACGCCTGCTCCCGCAGTAATAACCACTACAAGAACATCGCATGTAGATACGAATTGTGACATTGTTGAAGACATACGTACTGACAGCTCTACGCCAGCATTGATTTCGGCCACTAGGCCGAAAACTGTGCATATCACTGAAATAGAACAATTAATTGATCTTCTCTGAAAAAAGTTACATACGAAATTAAGCAACTATTCTAACAGCACCGACTTCAAAATATCTGATTGGGTATCTATTCTAAGTGAAAACCCCTGTTTAGTTATTTTTTACATTTTAGTGCCTAGAAGTCGGTTTATATTTTATTTTTAAGTATTTATATATGTATAAATTTCATCCTCCAAATTTTCCATATCATTATAGCTTATGGATTTTATTCTATGACTCACGATACATTAAAACTGTGTAATCATAGTGCATATTAAGTCATGACGTTTATTATTACCATTATCACTATAAAAATCTATCAAATTTATGATGAGTAATAATACGTGTAATTAAAATATAAAGGGCAATAAATGTTATACGTTACCTAGAATGGTAACAAGTATATAGCTGTAAATGCACATTGCGTTGGATATGCCAACAGTGAATCCGTTGCCTCGTGATTCAAAGCGAAGTGGTGCTAGGCCGAAGAAGCTTGAAATCTAAAAGATGATAAAAATGTATTCGCAAAAATAAATATAAATAGAAGGAGTTGAATCCGATGTAAAATAGCAAGTGCTAGTAACCTCAATGATCTAGTGACTACGGCTGCAGCCGAAGATCCTGGGTTCGATTCCTGGGTCAGCAAGGCCATGTATAGTTATTAGGATTTAGGTCAGTATCTCGTTTATCTCAGGTAACTCATAAGGCTACCTTAAATACACAAAAATAAATCTATCCCACGGGAACCGTACATTTTTCCGGGATAAAAAGTTACCTATTTATTATTCTTTTGTATGAAATATATTATTGCAAAGTTTCATTAAAATACAATCAGTAGTTTTTGTGCACTGAGCTGTATAAGTTACCATAGTGTTTAAACTATCCTACGGGAACTCTTTAATTTTTTCGGGATGAAAAGTATCTAAAATATTGACAGGGGATATAAGGTACCACCATGCAAAATTTCATTTAAATCGGTCTAACAGTTTCGGAGATTAGCCCGTGCAATCAGACAAATAGACAGAGAAACAAGAAAATCGAAAAAAAAAACTGGATTTGTTGTATATTTAGTAGTTTCAGTCAATGCTACTGAACAAAGAAAGAATAAATAAATAAAAAATAAATTCTTTATTGACATAATTTTATACATACACAGGTGATAAAGAATTCCCTAGCCCCTGCGCTCGTTAAAAACTGTGTTGCAGGAGCCAGTGTCATCCCCATATAATGAATGACAGGTTTATGCCAACACAATGATATAGGTACAAACAACAAGTAACATTATGAAAAAAAATTAGCACAAAAAATAAACATAATAAATAACAAAATGAAAAAAAAATGTATTATTATATAATAAGAATAGATAGATATAGATAGTTAAAAAAATGTTCGACGTGATTCTTTAAATTGGCATACCTTTTTTGTTTATGAACCTTACCAAAATATATTAGTGAAAACCACATCTAAATCGGATCAGCCGTTTCTGAGATAAGCATGCACAAGCGCACAGACAAACAGATTTATATGTATATAGATATAGATTACACGATTACGGGTACACGGCTTACAACTAAAATGCCGCTATTATTGTGATAGGGTTAGTCAATTGATCACTTTGTTGTATTGCGTAATAAGGGATACCAGTAGCGCCCAGCAATCCAGCCAGGTTTGAAGCTAAGAGACGCACTGGTAGGCGGTGGGTTGCTCCTGAACATAATCAGTATTGAAAAATTTGAGAAAGAGAAAAAAAGTGAATTGTACTTACCTATTGGTATAAAAAAGTATCTGTTTCCAAAAAAATATTGCTAACACTAAAACTCGTCAATAGCTACTAAAAAAATAATAGCAAAAAAAAATATCGTTTGACAAACAGAGCAGAAAAAATTGCTGAACTGTTTTTTCCTTACCTACCTACCTTATATAAAGACTAGTATTGCCCGCAGCTCCGCCCGCGTTCAGATGACTAAAAAAATTTAAATTCTTAGGTTTTACATATTAGTAGAATCTTACATTGCAGTTTTTGTATTTTTTCTCAGAAATGAAATATTTTTCCGCGGTAAAAAGTATCCTATATGTTGACCAAGATAAGCAGCTATCATCATACCAAAATTCATCAAAATCCTTTCTGTTGTTTTTCTGTGATGCGGTAACAGACAGACAGACAGACAAAAATTCTAAAAACTATAGATTCGGCCTTTGTATCGATAATAATATTTATAATATTTATTTCAATAAGATTTTCCAAAAAAAATATTTAATGTACAGATTCGGCTTAGTTATAATTTTATTATAGGTATAGATAAATATATTTTTTAAGAGTGCTTTTCTTTCGTTAGTCTAAAACTTTATGTTTTTATTATAACACAAAGCCACCTAAACCTAAACCTTGATATAATTAAAAAAAACTATGTGACATATTTAATATGACAAACATTTATTATAGGCATAAAAATATTGTCTTTCGACGGCTGCCTGTCGCGTTGACTTTCCTGTTATTCTTACTAGTTGTAAAAATATTATGTTGCAAAACTTTACTGATTTGAGCAGTCATTCTTATAAGAAATTCAAGTTTTTTTTTACTTAAAGTATTTTTATCGTCATTATAATGTAAAATAACTCTTTTCGATAGGTATATAAAGAAAATATTATTTATAATCACTAAATCTTACTAATCTTTCTTCTTACTAATATTATAAATGTGAATGTTTAGATGGATGTTTGTATGTTTGTAACTCAATCATGCCAGAACGGCTGAACGGATCTGGATGAAATTTGGCACAGAAATAGATTTGGAATAGCACATAGGCTACTTTTATCCTGAAAATGTACGCTTGTACGGGTGAGCCGCTAGTATATAATAAAAAGAAATAGTTTAAATATGTGTATAATAAATCATACTAGCGACTTTTCCTCGTTTCGTTTTTTTATAATATTAGGAGCCTCTTTTATTTATAATATTAAATTGAGGTAACACCGTACTTTAGAAAAATATTGTATTAACAGTATCCTATAACTATTTTCTAGATCATGGTCTATCTGTTTACTAAATTTCACCCAAATTAGTTCAGCCGTGTCGGCACGAAGGAGTGATATAGATCCATACACCTATGTACACAAGAATGTGATTAATAAGCATACCCTAAGAATAAAAGCATGAGCTCCTCCAACAACACAATGCATGACTCGTTCTTCTATCCCGGGTTCAGAATCAGATGAAACAGGAACCGCATCGCCGTCAACCTTTGCTGATTCCGCACCTGTACAAATAAACAAGTGTTGAGTTCTCATATATTTTTCGAACGAGTGCGAGTCTGCTGATTTACCAAGGGCTTTCCTTTTTCATTCCTTTAAAGTTCCAAAAATAATTTCTTATTGTAAGTATCCAAAATCAGGTTTCCATAATAATATTATTATGGAAAAACACTGCCAAAATTTCAGCAAAACTGATTTAGTCTAGGACCTATGGACTAGAAAGTTCATCGGTTTGCTGTTGTGAGGAATTTATTGAAAACTAGCAACTCTCCCTCGCTTTGCTCGGGTTCGTCCCTAGTAAAAAAAAACAAAATCTATCCTACGGGAATTGTACATTTTTCCGGAATAAATAGTAGCGTATGAGCTAATACAGACTATAATTTGTCTCCATGCCAAATTTCATTCGGATCCTCACAAACTTTCACATTTATAATATTAGTATGGATTAATGGGATACTAATAAAACTCGCGGAAACCTCGCAATGTGATATAAACTTATTACACGCAGTCTTATCTTAAAATGTGTATCTATCTAACTAATCGAAACTTTTAATTGCATCGTTGAGAACCACGTATCATGTGTCGACAGCCACATGTAGTAAACAAAGTTGTAAAATGATTCACTCTTAATTGATTTACTCGTATCCACATAGTATGAACATAATATGAGGTACTAGGTACGTATTTTACTTATTAAAATCCCTCCAGTGGTTTTTCAGACAAAAATTCTAAAAACTATAGATTCGGCTTCTCTATCGATAATAATGTCTATTTCAATGAGAGCGCCACCTACTGGGTCTACTTGCGTTTTCAAACCTTGCAGACCCACTCGAACATACACAAAAAATGTCATTAAAATCATCTTTGCTGTTTAGGAGAAGATTAGTGCCACTTACTGGGTCTAATTGTGTTTTCAAACCATCCAGGGACCCATTGAAATATACGTACGAAATTTCATCCAAATCGGTCCAGTCCTTTAGGAGGAGTAGGTTAACAAACACAAGTACAGAAGAATTATATATGTATATTAAGATTAAGATATGCTTATGTGCTACTTCAGTCATAGTCTATCCAAATCCATTTCAATATGAAAAAATAACAAATATACGTGGCATATGTACTAATTTTCTCATAAATGTTGGATGTACAGATCTATATCTGTACAAAATTGAGCGACCTTATACGTTAAATTCTTTGTCATCATATCAATTTACTTAAAATGGACCATTCAGTAAATGCCTGCTAATAATATATAATTGATTGTTATTAAAGTATCCTATTTTTGAACGCATGTCACAGATTACCGTGACAGTGACAAAGTATGGTCACCGTAATGAAATGAGGATACGGTAACTTTAATAGCGATGGCATTGCCGTAAGCAAAGGCTAATTTTTTTTAATGATGACACGCCTATTGTATCTAATTTATATAATGTCTCATAACTACTTTTAGGAGCGTTATTTTAGTAACTTGAGTAATTGGGATACTCATGTTTTCTAGCTTAGCGATATATTAGTTTTGGGCTGTTGCTATTCGTACTTTAAATAAAGACGAATAAAAATAATTATTCGTACTTTAATAGGACGAATAATAAATAATTATGGCTGTTGCTATTCGTCCAATAATCGGATAAATAAAAAATATAATATTATTCGTCCGACTATTGTCGGTTTGTACGACTATTTACCACTTTTTTGTTTTATAATGTAAAAAAAACTGATTTTAGGTGCAGGAGTTTCTATATGTAAAAAATAACTTTAGTCTACCGAGCTGAAAACTTATTCTTTTAGATCCCAATGATTTTTAAGTTGTAGAAATGTAAAAAGAAAAGTTTGTGTAAAAAGTTATTTTAGGTGCCGAGTTTCTATATGCAACAAAATCTTAACCTACCGAGCTGGAAATTTATTCTTTTCAATCCCAACGATTTTTAAGTTCAAAGGTTTTACCCACGATCACCACCACCACTATTTTAAATTTCATCGTAAATAAAAATAACTATCATCAAATTCTAAAGGTCCCCAGTGTAGGGGCCTACCCATTAAGGATGTAAGTATAGCGCTGAAAGATCTCAAATTATTCATTTTACTATAAAACTGCAAAACTAGTTCATAATGGCAGCCTCCGACGGATATGCTTAAGTTTATCTCGCGTTACATTTATTTTTTAAGTCGAGGGTTTTTAAATTTTTTTATCCTTTTTCAATTACTTTTTAACCGTCGTGAGTTTTTTCAAAATTTTCAATTTTGCTTTTGTTAAAAAATGTTAAAAAATCATTTTTAGGTGCAGGAGTTTCTGTATGCAAAAAAATGACAACCTTCCGAGCTGAACCGAGCTACTTATTATGTAATAGAGTAAATATATAATGATGATGTTCTCCTAGCCGATTTCGGCTACGGCGGCCAATCTCATTGAGAACTGAAGGCCAACTGCACAGGAGATATTATAGTGCTCAAGTGTACGCGCAGACACAGGTGCACTCTCTATTCCTATCCCTCTCATACTCCGGTGGGACGACCACTCGACACGACCGGTGAGAGTTAAGGCGCAGGACCGAGGGCTTTACGTGCTCTCCGAGGCACGGGGGTGAAACACCGCCAACTTCCCAACTCCGGGCTGTTACTGAGACTTACAATACAGTAAGACTCAATAACTAAACTTGGCCCGACCCGGGACTCGAACCCAGGACCTCCGGGTGTGCAGCCGTACATGCTAGCCACTACACCACCGAGGCAGATAATCTTTTTTTTTTTTTTTATTTCAAAATATATCATAGTAATAGGTCTGACAACATCTGCTGTCTGCAAACATAGACAACAAAACATGTTATTAGGACCGCCTGAGCCATTACATTCGCTTCGATAGACCCAAAATCCTCGCGAAAGAAAACTGATATCGCCCTAGGATGATTGGAGAAGCCATTGAAATTAAAAAACATTCAAATTTCAATAGGAAAGATGGCTGGGTACAACCATCGTCGTGGGATCCTGTTATTAATATAATAAAATCAAATAATAAATCTAAACATAACAGACAGTTAGATGTGGTAAGTTCTTACCATGGACGAATTAGCCACTTCGTTCATGGTTCTTACTATACGGATCAAAATAACAGTCTTTCAAATTAATATTCTTCATTGTAAATGTATGTAGTAATGTATTGCTTATAATTTTGATTCTTTTCTAAATAATTGCAAACTAAATTAAAATGATTATTCTTATTTAATTTCAATTTTAACTTTTTTAAATTACACAATAATGTATGTCGCTTTGATTAGTTAATATTTTATTTTCTTTATGTTTATAAATATAATAATTTGCAGCACTAAATAAGATTACTAATTAATTAAATATTCGAAAAAATTATAATAATTATAATAATAACTGCAAAAATTAAATAAAAAATATTCCACATTTAATCATAAAACTTATTAAAATTCAATAAAATAAAGTATTCGAAAGGTCGGGAACAAAAATCTAAATAAAGTCGCGAATTTATGATCGCGCGCGCTTCGTGAAATTATTTTAAATGTCAAATATTCGCGTAAATCTAAAAGGTATTAATAGTTTTTAATTAAACCACTGTCACCACTGCTTCAGACTATTCTGAAGCAGTGGTGACAATCCCCCGGGTTGTGTTTGTTAATATATTTTATGGTTTAAAAATATATTTCGTCTGAAAAAAGAGTGAGGGGTCCAAAACATAGATCGAGATTTCCTACTCAGTTTAGTAGTACTGTTTATGAAGCTTAGAAAAACTTAAAGAAATAAAATAAAAACCGACTTCCAGACACTAAAATGTAAAAAATAACTAAACGGCGGTTTTCATTTAGAATAGATAACTGATCGGATATTTTCGAAGTCGGTGCCAGCCGACGCATAGGGAATCTAATATATTTTGATACGTAAAATACATATTTACCTATTAGATATCCATATATTAAAATATTGTCGGTAAAAAAAACCGCTTGACCGATTTCGATAAAATTTATATGAGACCACCTGGGAAGTATACCCCTTCAAATAAAACAAAAAAATTCCAAATCGGTTCAGGCCTCTTCGAGTAATCGGTGAACATACATAAAAAAAAAGATTGCGACGAATTGAGAACCTCCTCGTTTTTGGAAGTCAGTTAACAAATGTCATTCTGCAATAGTTGCAGGATCAAAAAATATTATTTTTAAAGATTGAAGAATAACATCTTGCCTGAGCCATAATGTTAGATAAGTAAAAGACACTTCCACATTTATAACATCAGTAAAGATTGCACTAACAATGTAAACCTACCTGCTTTTATTCTATTCACATTACATTTATGATCACAAAATTTAAAATTAAAATCTTTGAATTCCATCTGCTTCTTAATATTGACGAAAGAAGAATAAAATTCGAACAATAGTAAATCATTTTCTGACATTATTTATAGTAAAATGGCTTTATTTTAATAAAATTATAACTCCATTAGACACCTCACGGTGTACTATTATTTTTATACGTATAGACAACTAATGTCATTTTAACAGTGATTAGGTACTAGTGGTTCACGCTCTCGTTTATATTACTATTGATTGATTTGATGACCCGATAATTGATAAAAACTGCCTCGGTCTAGTGGCTAGCACATCCGGAGGCCCTGGGTTTGAGTCTCGGGTCGGGTTAAATTTAGTTTTTGAGTGTTTCTGAATGAATTCTGAATGAAATCATTTGATAAAGTTTAAGCCATAAACTTGTCTTGGCATTTTATAAGTTGCTTAAAAAGTCTTATATGTTAAATAATCTAGCTACGATTTCTATGCGCCTTATCTTAAAAATGATCATACTTTGATATTTAACTATCCATTCATATTATAAATGTGTGTTTTTTATTGGTCTGTCCTTCTTTCATATCGATACGTACCAACAGATTGATGTAATTTTTTGTATGGAGATAGTGTGAGGGCTAAAGGGTAATAACTACTACTACTAACCTAAGCTTCTTTTTATCGCAGATAAATAACTTATTCTCATGGGAAATGAGGTAAAGTATTGCAAAGATTTTTTTTTATGTTGGAAAAAGCATTTAGGCATACCACCTGCATACATACAGGTGATTATGTGGGATTCATTGGCTAGAAAAGCCAGTACTACCCATCAAAACCCAACGGAACCTGCCCCGTGTTAATGGGGCATCGCAGGATCGCTAACACACTTAACCAAGACGCCCCGATTGCAGGCTTGCTCTGAAACAGACCATCTGAAATAGCTGGCTGGCTTCGGACCCTTCGGTGGTCTACCATGCAGGTTGCTGGTACTTCTTCGACAGCTGAGTGGAACGAGAGAGCAGCCTCTTGGTTATGTCGTCTGCTTCAGCAGACCTGCCATCGGGGCGTCGTGGTTGGTCGTAAGAGCTCCTGCCACACTCCATTACGACGGGGGTGGTTAGGTCTTAGTAAGTAGTATTTTTCTTTTTCTAGCTGATGAGTCCCACATAACCTGCATACATGCAGGTGGTATGTGTAAATGCATTTCCCAATTTTAAAAAAAGGTCTTTGGTTATTGGTTTTATATTATAGTACTGGTTTATAGTATTGAAATACCTACCTTCTAAGCGTATTGGGCAGTGGTAGCGTCTGTTTATAGGGAAAACTCGTGCATCATTACCATTTATGGTAAAAATGTCGGGAATCATCCATTGCCACTCCATTTGTTAATTAATAACTAATATTAAAATACTCGTTTTGTTTTCACACGTATTCTAATTATTACGTTTATAACTAACAAATAAACGAATTAAACTGTAACATTCAAGTCTTTCAGTTAGAATTAAATGAAATAATTTGTAACGATTAAAAGTTAACTTTGCGTGCTATAAACGTAATTACATTCTATAATTAAATCATAAACTAAACACAGTGTATCGTATGGCAACAATCGATAGCTATTTCACATGACGACACTAGCATTACCCTCTGGTTGCGTATGCGCATATTTTTTGACTGATATCAAACGTTTGTGTTTATATCTATACAAATAATAAAATTCTAACTAAGTCGAATCTGTACCATTAAATATTTTTTGTAAAATCTTATTGAAATAGACATTATTATTGATACAGAGGCCGAATCTATAGATTTTAGAATTTTTGTCTGTCTGTCTGTCTGTCTGTTACCGCATCACGCAAAAACCACTTGAGGGATTTTGATGAAATTTGGTATGGTGATAGCTGGTTATTCGGGTCAACATATAGGATACTTTTTACCGCGGGAAAATATCTCATTTTTGAGAAAAAATACAAAAACTGCAATGTAAGAGTATACTAATATGTAAAACCTAAGAATTTAGTTTTCAGTCATCTGAATGCGGGCGGAGCCGCGGGCAATGCTAGTTTTCAATAAAAATCTGTTTTTTTTTTAAAGAAAGATTTCTCTTGTCGATGTACCATTTGGGTTAAAATAAAAATGTATACACTATAAATGTTCTTTTGCAAATCCGCAAGTTCTCGACAATTCTTTACCTAGTTCTTTGAAAGGACACACAATTATTTTAAGTGGACATAGAGAAAGGCTTTATGTTATCTATTTTCCTGTGACTCTATCACTATATTACTCCAGAGCGCATCAACTTCTACACTTCTCAACCTATCGCCATGAAATTCCTATATATGTAAATAGGTATTTTAGTATGATAAATGCTTTTGCACTTTCCCTTCACATAGCTAAAGCCGTGGACGAATGCTATTCAGTAAATTTATTACAATAACAATATACAAGGATATTTGTCAGCCGGATAAACAATAATTGATTTTGTTTATTTTAAACTAGCATTGCCCGCGGCTCCGCCCGCGTTCAGATGACCAAAGACCAAATTCTTAGGTTTTACATATTAGTATACTCTTACATTGCACTTTTTGTATTTTTTCTCTTAAATGAGATATTTTCCCGCGGTAAAAAGTATCCTATATGTTGACCCGGATAACCAACTACCATCATACCAAATTTCATTAAAATCCCTCCAGTGGTTTTTCTGTGATGCGGTAACAGACAGACAGACAGACAGACAAAAATTCTAAAAACTATAAATTCGGACTCTGTATCGATAATAATGTCTATTTCAATTAGATTTTCCAAAAAATATTTTATGTACAGATTCGACTTAGTTACACTTTTATTATATGTATAGATGATATATTATTACAGCTATCACCTATGCTTTCCGAGACGGTGGCACTTGTAGCTTCCTCACAGACTAACTATATTGACGTTCTTTAAACTAAATTGACGAGCCAAAAGTGCGTAAAATAAGGCCAATTGAATAAAATTTTATGAAACTTTACAGTAATAGAGCTTATTCTAGCTTATACATAGAATAACAATACATTTATATAAAAATCGATGCGTGTATGCCTTTTTCTTATGGACTCCAAAACGGCTGGAGCGATTTTGATGAAATTTTCAGGCAATCTTTAGATTAGCGTCGCAGGTGATCCTGTGAAGTTTAGTAGGGATCGGGACGCGGGCTAAGCTGCGGGTACTGCTTGTACTTTATAAATATACAATAATACATTAAAAAAATGAATATTAGTTGACAAACAGGAGAGAAAAAGGTACTGAATTGTTTTGTCTTACTATTTATATATTATAGATAAAATTATTCAAACAAACCCATATGTAAAAACTAGTTTCATATATGAATACGACTTCTGTAAACTGTAAGTAAACATCTAATATTTCAACGCAATACATAAATTGAAATTAAATCAATGATTTTCAGCATGTAAATATTATTTTATTTATATGTTACATTTGCGTACGTACGCGATAATTATTCATCGTTCAATGCTTCTAGGATATTCTTAAATACGTAAGATATGTAGAGGATATTCGCGTACGCGATAATGTTAGTATTATTATAGTATGAATTATATTTTTCACATTTATTATACGCCAAGCTTTCGTCTTTAAATGGCGGAAAGCTTTTTATGAGACAAGATATACATATTTATAATTAAACTCTGAATTTTTTTCGAAACATCAGAAAACTTCACAAGATAAAGCTCAAATAGCATTAAGTGCTAAAAGAGCCCATTTTTGATATTACTCGTAAAATGAACTTTAACCATTTCCCTGTCCCATGAGTCATGTATGAACATTTCGATTATTTAACTATTGTCTCTATTTCGCGGATAGTTAATTTGGAATACAAAGAGAACAAATAAAAAAAACTAGACAAGGAACAACGGAGCACAAATGAAAGATACAAATTTTCATCCCCTATTTTACCCCCTTCTAGGATATATTTCGATAAATGCTAAAACACGTATTTATTTAATTTTATTGAAGAGCATTAATACCAAGTTTCAATAAATTCTGATCATAAAATTTTTTTGGATTTTATTATAACGTGTTTTTCTGTGGGAATTAGATAATCTCTCGCGGTAAAAAGTAACTTATGTCACTCTCCAGCCTTTCAAATATTTCCACACAAAAACTCACGCCAACCCGTCACTCCGTTTTGACGTGAAAGAAAGACAAACAAACACACTTTCGCATTTATAATATTAGTATTTATTTTCAAAAAATGTGTAGATTATGGAACTTTCCTTGATCTTATGAAATTAAGCTATGCGGGAGTTGCTCTTCTTAAACACATTTTTACCTCTACCTCTCGGAAAAATCATAAAATGCAATTGGTGTTTTTTGCGATTTATCTAAGGGCTTTGATTGCGTAGAACATGAAACCCTCCCGCTTAAACTAAGTCGTTATGATATTCGTGGCATTGCTCTTGATCTCATTGCTTTATATCTTAGTGGTAGAGTTCAGAAAGTCGCTATAAATAACGTTAATTCTTCTGGATCCTCTTTGAGAATGGGTGTTCCACAGGGCTCTCTTTTGGGTCCATTTTTGTTTTTAGTTTATATAAATGATCTTCCTTTCCATGCTAACGAATTGTGTGATATTGCACTGTTCGCGGATGATAACACTTTACTTTTTAAAGTTGTTACAAATATGATTATGACAAAGTAAACAATGCATTATCTCACAGACTTAAGTGGTTTAATATTAATAATTGAGCGTTAAACACCAATAAAAATAAATGTATGCAATTTAACCTACCTAATGTAAGGAGACAGAATTTTAGTTTGCTTATAAATAATAAGATTCTTAATACTGTAGATTCCACAGCTGGATATAACATTAGATTTAGGTCTTAAGTGGAGCCCCCATTTATCATCTTTACCGAGTAGACTGAGATCCGCTGTGTTCGCTGTTAGGAAAGTCAGGCAGCTAACAGATGTTGATACTGCTAGACTTGTTTATTTCAGCTACTTTCACAGCATCTTGACTTGCATAATTTTGTTGTGGAGTAATGCAACGGATATTAAATTTATATTTATTTTCCAAAAAAGGGCTATTCTTTATGTTCCAAAGTTTACTTTCAATTATTTTTACTTTTCAGTCGTAGGTACTAGGTATATATTGTAACATTGCCATATGATGTATTACTAAGCTTAATAATTTGATATTGATGTATATAACATATTCGGATAGTCGATCCAAAGTTCGCTTTTATTCCAAAATAACCGAAATTGACTGCGATGTCTTTAAGTCAAGTACGATTTTCTAAAGTATGTAAAGTAAGCATTTGACAAGATTATGAAAGATGTATTTTGTTAAAGTTGAACTTTGTCATATAATACTTTATTTGATAAGTGCGATCTACAAATCTTAACCCCCATGAAGTGCCTGTCTGTCTGTGACCTTAAAAACGGTATGGTATGGTAATAACCTATTTTGATTCTATAACATAACAACTTAAGTCATTTCAATACAATTTTTTTGATCTCCAACGTTTGTAGAAGAATTTCATTAAGCCCAAAAGACAATTGCAAGTTTTATATAACTGAAAAATTAGGTTTGATTAGTAAAAACATTATAAATACAGGTAAAAATCACTAAGATTGTCTAGAGTATTTAAAATAATTTTTTTTGTTAATTTTGCTCTGATCTAATCTAATAATTAAAACAAAAAATAACATCGACGTTAAAATATTATTGGACGTAATTTTTCAATACTTAGGGGTAGAGAACTTTTACCTTGTTTATAACTTATTAATTGAAGAAACAATAACTAAAATTGATGGACTATAAGTATACCACGTAACATATACTTGAATTGAATAGTACCTTCTTTATTTCAAAGTCGGTAAAAAAGTTTTTTACAATAGTACAAATATATATATATTGTATATATATATATATATATATATATATATATATATATATATATATCATTTATTACGTACCCATTAATAATTAATTCACTACTTCTTTAAAAACTACACGTTTTGTACACATAAAACACCCATTCTAAATGAAACAAATAATCTCGAGCAACGATTTCGGATACCAGGGTAACAGAAATTACGTAGCGATCTCAGACGGGTGCGAAATGAACTAACATCAACGAGAGCTTTCATGTAACATGTAAGAACCTAGCGATGTTTGATAAATGCCTAGAACTTTATTTATTACCATCATTGCCCGCGGCTTCGTCCGCGTTCAGATGATACCAATACATATACCAATTTCATTGCGCACCGCATGATTGATAAGTAATAGCGGTGATTGACAATGCTACAAAGGTTCCTCCATTAAATCAGTCATATTTGATTTAGTAATATTGAAATTTTTGTTTTAACAATAACATTTATAGAATGTCTATACTTCTGTTTTGTTTGTTTAGTTTTGGGCGATAAACTCTCAAACTACTGAATTAATTTTAATCATTTATTTACTAAAAGACAGCTATCGATTAAATTATGCATATTTAGCAGACTATTTAAATTACATATTAATAACATTTCTTAATGTTAATTTATCGCGAAACAGGGATGGGTTAGTGCTTGTTAGTAATCTTTTCTGAAATGATTTTCAAAAGAAGAAAAAGTTCCAGAAGGACATAATTAAGGTAAATGAGTAAATCATTTTAATTCTATATTATATACAGATATATATTTTATGTTAATACAACACGGCAACAGCACACTAGGCTGAACTGATATGACATGCCCAGTCTCAATGACAGATTCACATTGATGAGAGCTACGCCACAACTCTCTTGTAATCTATACATACAGATAAATAAAATTGAAGTGTCTGTTTGTAATGTCAAAATAACCGAGCTTTTACTAAGTGCATTTGAAAGTATACATATACGGTACTAATAAGAAAAAATAATTTATCTTTATATATATAATTCTTCTGTGAGTGTGTATGTCACTGAACTTCTCTCAAACGACTGGACCGATTTTGATGAATTTTTTTGTGTGTATTCAAGGGGATCTGGGAATGGTTTAGATTCAAAAAAATTATTAAAAAAAGTTTGAAATTTTCAAATTAAAGACGTGTAGACAGGACAACGTCTGTCGGGTCCGCTAGTATTTTTGTAAAATTGTAACTAAGCCGAATCTGTACATTAAATATTTTTTGGGAAAATCTTATTGAAATAAACATTATTATCAATACACAGGCCGAACCTACAGTTTTTAGAATTTTAGTAAAGTAAAATAATTGTAACTAAAGCACTACTTCAAACATCTACCGTCGTGTTTCTGAAGTCGGTTGAAACTAGACCAATTACCTGTCGGGCACTTTGGAAATTAGGCCTGAGTTTTACTGCTTCAAATAATCGAGGCTTTTATGTTTGCATTCCAAGACGTGTACTGATAAAGTATGGATAAGCATGCTTTCAAACAACCGAGACTTGTCAGACTAGTCCACGCCTTCTTCGCGTCACAACACTTCCTCATATACATATATACACCTCACAATAGACCGCCATAAAGTAATAAGAGTATCTACACACTTCGTCAACAACCGTTCACGACAGACCCTCCTACAACAGACCCCACTGATATCCATATTATTTATAATTTAGATAATTTTTACAATTCAACACCGAAAGGTAAAAAATCGCCTTTAAAGAATTCGTGAACTACCACGAGTTCCACAATGGTAGCAATAAACTCACATTTAAATGGTAAAAGCGCATCGTCAATAATGTCCAATATTTCAATTGATTAAATATACTTATAAATTTTTTTAAAGTTTTTTTTTTTGATAAGTTAATCGACAATTTTATAAAATTGTAAAAAAAGTTAACTTACCTAGATCTAGATCGGTATTAGTATAAAGTTTATTGAGCCCATCGAAAGCTTTATGTTACCAATGAAAATTAGACCATTACAAATTATTATTATACTTTATTTAAAACATAATCAAGTTCTTGGCAAGTGATATTAAGGGAAAAAAATGTTTAAATACATTATAATGTTACTGAAAAGTGACTTATTATACAATATACACAGTGACAAAGATATAACTGTAAATTCTTAAGCGTCGAGAAGATTAAAAGTAAAACGTGATAGCCATCTACCGATGCGAGGTCAGAACGAGCTCCATCCAAAAGAACTAACTTAATCGGTACCATTCCAAAAATTCTTGAAACACGTAAAACTGTTGCCAAAGTCCCCATAACGATACAAACGTAACAAGTTACGTGGCATACTTCGGTTGTATTTGAAGAATTCCTTCAAATATTCACCCTGAACCCTCTCCTTTCGAAGTCGGCCAAAATTAGACCATTTAGGACAGGTTTTTTTTGGAATTCAGAACTGAATATTTCTAAAAAAATCAGGTTTTTAGATTATTTTGTATGAGTTCCAAGACATGTACCTACTGACAATTAATCAACCTCTTTTACACAGTAAATAGGTCGTTAGCTGTATCATTAATTATGACCATAATTATGTTACAATTGTTGTTATGATGTATTTAACACAAATACATGTTTAATTCCGAATTTAACATCCATACTAATATTATAACTGTGAAAGTGTGTTTGTTTGTGTCCTTCCTACAATATTTTAAGATATGAATATTTAATAGGTAAATATTAGAGATGTGCCGACTAGCCGCCGACTAATCGGCCACTTTTGTAGTCGGCGACTAGTCGGCGAATAGTCAGCAAAAAGGGCCGACTAGTCGGCTTCTTACTTTGTACGTATTTTTAATCAATCCATCAAAATATACTTTATTCAAATAGACTTTTACAAGCTCTTTTAAATCGTCATTTTTACATTATGAAAATAAAGATTTTACATTAAATATCTGTGTTTAAGTCCGTGAGGAAACTAATAAAATATATGTATTTACAGCCCCTTTTCATGTTAGAAATGATTCGCGCATGAAAATATCAGAGGTGCGAGACAGAGATTGAACCCACATTACTCGGTTATCCACGCGAGCGTGTCACTGGGCTATCACTGTCGCTATAGCTATAGCAAGAGAGCCAGCATAAATCTGACAACACATATATTACGATACCTGAAATTTTGTCCAGCTATACTGCTATACCCACTGAACAAGCAATGGGTACTGGCTAAGCCCGACCGCGGAATTTATACTAATGATTTGCCATTTTTTGTACAGAACAAACATGAGATAGTATTGTTCGCTGATGACACTTCACTTATTTTTAAAGTGTAGCGCAATTCGACGACGACGATGTAAACGATGCTCTCTCAATGGTTATCTATTGGTTTAATTCAAATAATTTATTATTAAATAATAAAAAGACAAAATTAATAAAATTCTCAACACCTAACGTCAAACTTGTTGATAATGGTGTAATATTATATGATGAAGTGTTAAAACTGTAGAGTCCACTAAATTCCTAGGTATTATCATAGATTCGAAATTGCAGTGGGGCCCTCATATTGAGGGGCTAGCGAGTAGACTCAGCTCTGCAGCGTTCGCGGTAAAAAAATAAGACTTCTTACTAATGTAGATACAGCTCGCTTAGTATATTTTAGTTATTTTCATAGTATTATGTCATATGGTATCTTACTATGAGGAAATGCAGCTGCTATTAATACAATTTTTTTCCTGCAGAAAAGAACTATTCGTGCAATTTATAGTTTAGGTCCTAGAGTGTGATTAAGAGATAAGTTTAAAGAAATAAAAATATTGACGGTTGCTTCTCAGTACGTGTACGAAAATTTTATGTATGTCCGTAAAAATATACAGGAGTTTTCCAAGAAGTGTGACATGCATAACATATACTAGGAGCAAACACAAACTTGTAATGCCTGTGACTCGTCTACACAGAGTCAGTAATTCTTTTTATGGACAATGTATACGCTTGTACAACAGGATCCCAGAAAATGTTCAAAAGGCTTCTATCATCAAATTCAAAAAATATGTTATAGAACGTTTGTGTGCTAAAGGCTATTTTTTATTATACAATAAATGATTTTATAGAAGATGGCACACCTGGGAATGAAAACATCGCCTACAGGCTACTTCAACTTGATAGAAATATTGTAAATTATAATTTTACTTTAAAAAAAGATAACAAGTTAATATTAGCCCCGCTGAGTTTCTTTCGCCAGTTCTTCTCAGATCTGAGGCTTCTTCTTTCCGAACTGGTAGTAGACTCATGACGTTCAGTAAAAAATTGTAATAATTTAATGCTGAATAAAATATTTTGAATTTTGAATTGAAGTTGACAGAATAGGTACTGTTGAAGGTAGTTCTAATTGGATTTTCGACTGCCAGAAATCGTCTGTGGTCGAACATTTTATCGAAGAACTTAACTGAGGTGTCAGGCTTGGATGTCGGTATTTAATATGGTTGTTCATACTTGTAGTATTAGCTGTATTCCCATGCCCGCCACGAGAAATTATCATTTGGCATTGGTAACACTTGACTTTGCGGGAATCATTGTCCAATTGTTCAAAAAAATCTACATAAGAGACTTTCTTTTTGACATTATTAAATTTTAATTAAACTTTTACACTTTAATGAACAATAACACTATTAACTTTACAAAAAAATATTTGTTATACAAAAATACCACTCTGACCCGCACAACAGCAAAATTCAAGACACAATGCGAAGTAAACAAAACAGATTCTGACACGGCAGTTGCGATTTGAGCGTGAAAGAACGGCAAAAAAAAAGCCCCCGTTTAGTTGTTTTTTTACATTTTGTGCCTGGAAGTCGGTTTTTATTTTATTTTTTAAGTTTTTGTTACATTTTTTTGTAGTTTTAGCGCGAGCGAAGTCGCGGGTTCTGCTATATGTATAAAAGGTTGTAACTACTGTGTCACTGTATTATATGTACATAAAATGCTATTACCAATATGTTATACATATTTTATATACATATGTTGAGTTGATGTTAACGAAGCATAAATTAACTTTATAGCGGAATTTTTCCTTTTTTCAATAAGAAAGTAGCATTTCCTTCTCTTTCTAGATCCTGGTTTTGAGTACAATAATATAATAAAACAACATGCATTCTCTAAGTTAATTTATTACTAAACTAAACAAAATATATAATAAAAATAAAGAATATTTTCTCGTGCATAGTAGAATAAAAGAACAAAGGGACCATTTAGTAATAATATAATGAACTACATATTTTGATTTTTATTAATCAGATCATTCAGTAGAATTCTCATAACCATTTCGGCATTTAATATAAAATAACCAAATATGAGAAAAATGCCCCAGCCGTCTGAAAATTACAAATAATTAATTAGTGTCAAATTAATTTACGTTACTTTGAGCTTCGATCAACAATACTTCTAGATATCGGGTCGGCATAAGAAATCCGTCTCAGTAAATATAAGCTCACTTGCAAAGTGAGCGTATATTTCGATTAGTTCTATTGAAACACTGCCAACGTAAACACGTGTCAATGTCACGTCACAATGCCGCAAAAAAAGTTGTAAAAATAATGCGCGACGTAGAAATTTTTCAGACAGTGTGTCTTATTTTCGGTAAGTACATGTAGATTAAGTCAATATTTTAAGATTTAACCTACGAAATAACATAAAAATGAAACTTTGAACAATTTTAAATCCGCTAAGAATACTTTCTTAGATTTACGCGAATATTTGACATTTTAAATAAAACTATCTTTTCGGATTTTGTCGCGGATTTATTTGTATTTTTGTTTCCCCAAAGCCGCCTAAACTGTATGGACTTCCAAAGATACACAAATCTAACGCTCCGCTACGTCCAATTGTGAGTCAAATCGACACACCGACTTATAAATTGGCCCAACTAGTAGCGAAAGTACTCTCAACACTCAGAGGACAAACATCAGCGTTTACAAGGGACTCATACCATTTTGTCAATGAGATAAAACACCTACAACTCATGGACATTGAAACTATGGTCAGTTTTGATGTACAGTCTCTATTCACCAACCTACCAGTAGAGGACTGTGTCAAAATAGTATCAAGAAAGCTACGGGATAATAGTATGCAAGAAGAATACACTGAACTTTTGAAACACTGCCTTACATCTGGCTATCTATTGTGGAATGATGAATTCTACAAGCAAGTGGATGGAGTGGCCATGGGTTCGCCGGTCTCTCCCGTTGTAGCTGACATCTTCATGGAGGCCTTCGAGGAGACCGCCCTAAACACATCACCTGTGACCCCTCGTTTCTACAAGCGGTATGTAGATGACACTTTCACAATATTACCATCTGATAAAATATCTGTATTCTTAGAACATCTTAACTCCATAAACCCTAAAATACAATTTACAATGGAATTGGAGTCTAATAATTCTTTAGCTTTCTTAGATGTATTAGTCATACGTAACCCAGATAACACCTTGAGTCATACTGTGTATCGAAAGAAGACCCATACTGATAGGTACTTGAATGGTGAATCTCACCACCCCCCTTCACAGTTAGCTACCGTGGGAAAATCTTTGTTTCAGAGGGCACGCGGGATCTGTGACGAGCAACACCTGGCCGGAGAACTGCAACATGTCAAGCAAGTTCTGCGAGACAACAAGCTGCAAGTGCCGCGCCTACGTCACAGGGACCGAGTGAAACCAGCCACAGTCGAGCGCGTCCCTGCAGTCCTACCTTACATGAGAGGCGTCACTGACAAGATTGGCTACATTCTAAAGCGAGCTTCAATTAAAACTTACTTCAAGCCGCCAAAGAAAATTAGTCAGTTTCTACCACCTGTCAAGTGCCACATCCCTCTACAAGATGCAGGAGTTTACAAGCTTGATTGTGATTGTGGGCTCTCTTACATCGGACAAACAAAGAGATCCATTAGAACCCGGGTCAAAGAACACATAGCTGATGTGAAGCACCGTCGCAATACAACATCTGCTGTCTGCAAACACAGTCAGGACCGCCCAAGCCATTATATTCGCTTCGATAGGCCTCAAATCCTGGCGAAAGAAAACCGATATCGCCCTAGAATGATTCGAGAAGCCATAGAAATTAAAAAACATCCTAATTTCAATAGGGAAGATGGCTGGGTACTACCATCGTCATGGGATCCTGTTATTAATATAATAAAATCTAATAATAAATCTAAACATAACAGACAGGTAGATGTAGTAAGTTCTTACTGTGTAGATCAAAATGATAGCATTTCTGATTAATAATATTTTTTCACTTTTTCATTTGTAAATGTATGTAGTAATGTGTTGCTTAATAATTTGTTTTTAAATAATAGCAAATTTAAATTAAAATTATTATTTTTAATTAATCTTAACTTTTTCAAATTACACATAGATCAATTGTGGCTTAAATAATTAATACTATATTTTATATTTTTCTTATGGTTATAAATATAATAATGGCAACACTAAATATAGATTGCTAATTAATATTTTTAAAATTGTAATAATTATAAAAATAATAGCAAAAATTAAATAAATAATTTTCCATATTCAATTATAATTAAAATTATAAAAATATTTAAAGTTAAAATATTGTAATGTAATTGGTGCAATTTTCATTTTGTTAATTGTGGGTAGGCTGTCTGTAACAACTATATCTTTAAGACATGTAACACCTCAGTCTCTCCCGTGACCATGGATGCTGTAAAGCATTCGAAACGTCGGGAAACAAAAATACAAATAAATCCGCGACAAAATCCGAAAAGATAGTTCCGCTAAGAATGTTGACCCAGGTTGGCCAATACATACGCAAATTCAAAGAACCAAACAGAAACAAAACATAACGATTTAGCTCACAAAGCAACAACGGGAAAAAGTGTTTTATGTTTTAAATAAAACTATCTTTTCGGATTTTTTCGCGAATTTATTTTGATTCTTGGTTCCCGACGCTTCGAATGCTTTACAGCAATCATGGTCACGGGAACAACTATATAATACCTTAGAGACATCTAACACCTCAGTCTCTCCCGTGACCATGATTGCTGTAAAGCATTCGAAACGTCGGGAACCGAAAATCAAAATAAACTCGCGAAAAAATCCAAAAAGATAGTTTTATTTAAGTTGTCAAGTATTCGCGTAAATCTAAGAAAGTATTATGCTTCATGTTTTTTAAATATAAGGTTGATTTTACAATAAAGATTATAAAACTTACGAAATGATCGTAAGTGTATGATGATAATTTGAAGATTTGTGACTTTATTACAAGGTGCTATGGTGTTGATTAGGTTAAACATAAAAGTATTATAAGATTTTGTCTTGGTTCATTAGTATACAAATGAAGCTGTATAAGTGCATATTTGCGCAGACAGAATTTAGCTTTGACTTTCTATGTGACAACTTATCTAGTAGTATTGTTGATCGAAGACTTTGAGGTAAGGTGACTTGTTACTCAAATGAAATTAAATTTTATTCAATTACACTTATTACAAGTGCTTTTGAATCGTCAATTTAATGTAATCGTCAGTGTAATCAGCTCGTGAGGAAGTTATCACTGGCTCGGAAAGCAGTTCTACTGAGAAGAGCCGGCAAGAAACTCAACAGTTGCTTTTTTAATATCGAAGTTACATTTATTTTATTAACATAATAATATAGGTGTCCCGCATATGAGCCAATATTTCTCAATTCCACACATTTCTATTACAAGAAACTCTTGAACAGTATAATATGCTTTGCTCAGTAAAATATTTTTAATTTTATTTTCGATTAGTACAATTGAGAGCCAGTGCTCTGTGACACATAATAAATGTTTTTTTTTAAATAGTTCCACTTCTAATTCTTTGCCACCTAAGCCTTGTATGTTTTGATGCACAACGTTAAGAGTATATAATAGGTATACTCTCAAGGTGGTCCCACTATCATCAAGTCAGGATCTAATTAGGGGATTCTCAAGGAAATCGAATAAAAAATAAATAACTAATAATGTAATAAAATCTTAGAAGTTAATTTAGACCCACTTCCCGGTTTCCGATTGAGCTGAAATTTTGCATACATATGTAAATTTTGTAACAATGCAATAATCTGGTATTATTGAGCTGATCTGATGATGGAGTCAGGAGGTGGGTAGTGGAAATACTCAAGAGCAAACAGCAAAGACACAAAATTTTGTAAATGAATTTCACTATAATATAGCCTATTATAAACTACATCGTGACATGGCTGCTGCACCCAGGGTTGATTTCCGATGAGGGAATTCCTCGACGGTAAATAGTACAGACATAAAATTTTGTAAATAGATTCAACCATATATCTCATAGCCTCTGAGTCAAATCGCTGAGACATACGGGCTGATGGGCATAAATAAATTGGAAGGAATTTGTTTTTTGCGTCTGTTTGGACGAATATGAACTACGCATAGGAAACACTAAAACGGACATTGAAATATTTTATAGAAACCTATTAATAACTACCGCCACTGTTAATTTCTTAGAAATTTAATTAATTTCTTAGAAATTTACCTGGAAGTGTACTTACCGCTAACAAAAGTTGTCTTGTGAAAGTGAACATGCCGAGAGGTGAAAATTTAGGCATATCTTGCATTAATTGATAAGAGAAAGAATATAATTCTTCTTTTGTCTCTTTCTCAGTTGATTTACATATCAGGCGACTGACTAAAACTCGCATCATCTGAAACTAAATCCATAACATATATCATGTTGAGAAAGTGCCTCGTATTGATTTCATATTGTTATTTATTTTGCATTACTTCCGCTAAAACCATCTAACAGAAATAGACAGCAATTTTTACCTGCTTGCAAGTCTGATGGCACGGTTCTATCAGCAAAATCAACATAGCACATCTAAAAATAATCCATACAATCTTCAATATCGTACGATCCAAGTTAAGCATGTTGTTATTATCTAGAATAGTATGAAAATTAATAATATTGATTGCTCTTCATCGTGAGCTCTTTATTATAAAATATTTGCAAAAAGTAAAAATTATTTAGCATTCTAACCAAATAATGTTTGTAAAATATAAAAACCATATATAAGATCTAAGATTTTGTACATAAATATAAAAAAGTTGAGAGTGCCCTCGTCCTCATCTATTTGTATTACAAGATTACAAATTGATTTATAAATTTGATGAAAATTTCTTATCGTTATATGTGAGTTTCCACTTTTATCACCATATACACCTGAAATACAGTAGTTTTAGTAAGTTTTTTTTAAATCAAAGACTATAGTAATAAAACTCTCGTTGTGAAATGGTTTGGTAAAGCACCAACAAGTTGAAATCCTCCAAAAACTTTCAACTGAAAATGAAAAATAACTACAAATAATATAATATCACGTGGTCAAAAGATATCATTTCTAAAGAATTTCTAGTTTTCTTTTATGCATATCGTAGAAATCAATGATATGATAGGCTAAGAAGGCTGCAAAGATTAAATATTAAATGCCAGTAACAGTAATGTAAATACAACATCCGTATTAATATGAATAGACTAATATGTATGGAAGATGTACCATACCGACCCCAAGTGATTAGGAAATGGACAGGGAGATGATGACTAATATTCTTAATGTAAAAGTGTGCTTATTTGTCCTTCTTTCACGTCGAAACAGAGTGATGGATGGTAATTTTTGTGTGGAGATAGTTGGAAGGCTGGAGAGTGGAATAGGCTACTTTTTACCGCGTGAGATTATCTCATTTCCACGGGAAAACACGTTATAATACAACGCACAACAACTCATACCTCAATAAATATAATATATATTAGATATATACATACTTACCGTTAAAACGTACCTAGGGACGAACCGGAGTGACGCGAGGGTGAGCTGCTAGTATATTATAAGAGCAGGACGTTATATAAGGATGCAAATTAGGGACTTTAAGAAAAATATTAGTATCTTAAAAACATACTGTATACTTCTGATTTTACAATTATTGATGTGAGGCGCTCATGTAGAACACGTAGCGTTCCATTCACTAAGAATACAAGGAATACAAACTGTAACTGTAAAAGCAGTATGAAGACTTGTGTGTTATAGTACATAAAAAGTAGTAGAGAATGTGCTGAAATGTAAGAAAAAGTCTTAGATTACACGGCATTATATTTTTATATCCAATTTAATTGAAAAAATTAGTTAATAAAATATTACCATTAACAATTTCTGACAAAGATGCAATCGACGTATAAATATCCATAGCACAAATAAAATAGAGGCCCAATAAGAAACCCCAAAAAATTGCTTTAGAATATTTTGTCCTAATATTCGCGTAGCTGTTATTCATTTCCCAGTTCAGCTGAAAATCGTATGAAAATATAGTCTGTGTGACTAATAGATCAATGCACAACCTAAACCGCTGGTCGTAGAAACGTGAAATTTAGAGGACGTATTCCATAAACCATGCAGGCGTCCGATAAGAAAGGATTTTTCGAAATTCCTTACCTAAGTGGGTAAAATCGGGGATGAAAGATTGCATGAAACTCTGTCATTCTTCTTTTATGTTAGGATCAGGTTATTAATATGACTGATAGAGTTAAATTCCTTGGCATTGTATTAGATAAAACTCAGAATGGAAATGGGTTTACTGAATATATCAGTAAAAAATGTGAAAGGGGCATGATGCTCTACATCCGGTGTCTGGTATCTGGTGGGACGCACATCCCTATAGTCTTAAGCTAAGAAATTGAATAAAATACAAATTCGGTTAATTTTAGGTGCAATAAGGTCTTCCTCGACTAATGTCTTACAAGTTGAGTGTGTTGGTCCCCCGTCTGCAATTCTCGTCTGATCGCTATATCGGTAAAATGTTACAGATATCTTCACCCCTTATGGCCTAAATTACATCTTTTATCTGAACACAGCCCAAATAATAAAGCTTTACCATGTTTACTGTAAAGTTTCAATAGGTTTACCAAACTCGCAACATCTCACGTCGTTATTTTCCCTCTAACCCTCTTTTCTGTTATCCCTACAACGCCTTAGTTAAGTCTCCCCCCTATAATCACAGATCTTGGTATGGTCAAGGGTGCATCTGATACCAACACAAAATTTCATGCATTAGTTCATCAAAATTAGGTCGAATCACATTCTTATTTTTACTGACGCACCGAAGCTATCTCAGGATGACTGTGTTGGTGCAGCATACTGGATATGAATATTCAAAATTATTCTGCAATTTAAATGTCCTCACCAATCATCGGTGTTTACAAGCGAGGCTGTAGCTCTTCTAGAAGCAACCCTGTTTACCCTATCTCACGACTTTCAATAGACTGTAATCTTTACTGACTCATTAAGCTGCTTGATGGCCATAAAAGAGAGCCCTTTTTGTAGCAAATCAAGGTATTCTATTACTTTGAGGATTCTTGAAGCTCTGCTCTCATGTCATTGTAAAGGTTTAGCGATAACTTTAGTGTTGATCTCAGTACATTCAGGCATTCCTGGCAATGAAACTGCAGATTCATGTACTAAGGTTGCTACACAGTGCGGTTCTTTAGAATATTTTTCCAATTCTGTAAGGATCTGTTGTCTGTTGCAAGATCACACTTAGATAAAGAATAGAGTATTTACTGGAACTCATCAAAATCTTTTAAGGGAAGCATTATGCTGAAATTACACCAGAGATACCAACACATCGCTGGTTCTCTCGTTTCTAACAGGCGGAACGTTGGGTTATATCAAATATTAGTCGAATTCGTCTTGGGCACACGTGTACACGTGTAGTTTACTTGGCGAAAATCAGAGTCAGGGACCATTCCCTGTGTGAAGGTGGCCTGTGTAAATCGTTTGTTAATGTTGGTGTACAGTCCATTATGAAGATTTTTATATAAGTATATCAAATGTAATATATTAAGTTGTAAATTGTTGTAAAATATCTAATTAATTTAAACTAACATCTGTTTTATGTGTATCTATTTTGTATTTATACTTTATTGTGACGTCTTGTTTGTTATAGGTGCAGCTTATACATAAATCTCGCATTTGTCAAAAAGTTTTCAGTCCTCAGTGTGAATATCTCTTTAAATTGATCAATTCTCAATCTCTACCGTGACTTCTCCATCCTACACGACCTTGACAAAGTAAATTGTGCCCAAATGGCACGCCTATAAGCCACAGAACAAAGAACATTGAATCTATATCTCGCTTTTTCCTAATATCGGTAAACGAAAACCGATCATATACCCAAAAAAGAATGAAAAAAAAGGAAGCTAAAATTTCGAATAATACTAAGGAAGCAAGGTATATTAGCAGTTTATTAACAGAAGACTATGATATTGATTATCTAAAAAGTGATACTTAATACCTAAGTCGATAAAACGAAATTGTTTCATACTTATTTTTATTAAACACTAGATACTTACCCTCACTTTGCTCGAGTACGCTTTTGGGTGCTTTACAGGTATAGAATAATTGAAAATTATCAAAATCTAAATAACTTACTTTTTCTAAAGTATTTAAGTAATCCACTAGGTTCTTCATCCTACTGTATCCTTTGATAGTACCCAAAGATATTATTATAGCGTAAAAAAGTACTTTAGCGAAATATATAATTATCCAAACCAATGCCGGCAATCCTTTTATTTGCGCTAGATGTCCATAATTTTCTAAATGTACACTTCTCATAAAGCTAGCTATCACTGAAACATATTAATTAATTATTATATTCAGACTTAAATATATTGATTTACTCAAGGTGAAACATTATTATTACAAGGGTTGATAATAACAATCTGCGAGACTTCGTGCGATCCGGTTCCGTGCGATCCCTCTCATGACCATGATTGCTGTTAAGCGTTTGAAATGACAGGAAATAAAAATCAAAATAAATCCGTGACAATATCCGAAAAAAAAGTAAATTATTCAAAATGTCAAATTTTCGCGTAAATCTAAGAAATAAATAATAATAATAAATATGTTGGGACATTAATAACACACATCACCACCTAGTTCCATGGTAACCTACGAGGCTTGTGTTATGTATACAAGATAGTTTATACACAACAAATATTATAAATATAAACACCCACGACTGGAGTACAAACCTTCGTCATCACACAAATAAATGCTCCCAGCGGGACTCAAACCCGCGACCGCTGGCACAGAAAGTAGGGTCACTACAAACTGAGCCAAACGTGTCGTCAAAAGAAAATATCATTGATTTTAATTTTTCAAAAACAAGAATATATTAAGATTCTAAGAATAAAGTAAATAACTAGGAGAAATACTAATTTGTTATTCAAGTATAGAACCACAAGTCTGACAAACTTTTGCGTACATCTGGTGATATAAAATGAGCGAATAACATAATTTAACCACAAGTAGGTACGCTACATGTACGTATACTTGGATGTACGTCTGTCGTTATAAAATTGATCATTTTTGGTTTGATCGTTTCCGAAATTGTGGATTGCAAGTAATATTTGCTCGTAAAAAAAACTTAAAATACATTATATTTTAATACTGAAAAGTTACTTACTGTAAACTGTGACGAAAATGTAACTGTAAATTCGTAAGTTTCGAGAAACAGAGACATGATATCCATTTAACGGTGTGAGGCGAGAATGAGCTCGTCGCAAAGAAATCAATTTAATTGGCGCCATTCCAAAAACTCTCAAAACACGTAAAACTGATGCCATAGGCTCCATAACGAAACACTCACTTGCCATAGTAAATGTTTGACTTAGCTGTAGCCTGTAGCTAAAGTATATTTCGACCAATTCTAAAAAGTAGAAATACACAATTCGGGTATATAATGTATATCTTATACGGTGATACCTTCGCCTATTATTGTTAATCGATATTCATGATTTTGGTTTTTTTTAATGCAACGCTTAAGGGTGACCCCATACAATTATCATAAAACTATTCTGCCCCTAGGGACATATCATTCTA